TGTTAATCTTACCCGAATATCCCATAAGAGGGGTATGGCTTCTGCAACCAGATCTACCAGAAGAGAGAGGTGTTTTTCCTATACATGTGCTATTCAGGCCTCGCAGAGAAGAAGAACTCGTGAGATTCAATGTGTTAGCATTTTCTACACAAGAACTTTTGTCCCCAAAATATGATTCTGAGGGAACAGAAATAAGTAAATTACGAAAACAGCCACAACAAATTCTTATTCAGAAAGCAATATACAAAAAACAGCTTACAAAACTTCATTTTCTACTAGCAGAAATAGAGATATCCAAACAAAATGTCATTCTATGAAAGCTCTCCACAGTATAAAAGGAAATAAATCAGACTGCTTTGAAAACAAGCTTGCATTAATATGATTATTTTTTACAATGAGATTACCTGCAGTGCTAATAAATTAATTAATTGTTGAACAGAAATAATACAGCAGAAGTCACTTTACTAAGTATCATTTCATATTCTAATGAATTGTAAATTTATGAAGGAATGCTTTAAATCAACTTTATCTCACATTTGCCCATCATTTGAAAAATCATTATCTAAAACTGCACACGTGTTTATGAAAACCTTTTTTTAAAAACTGAGCATTCCTTTTAGAAAACATGACAATAAAAGAAAAAGAACCACTCGGGAATGATAACCTTTTGAATTTATGGGGATCAACTCTCAGAAATGATACAGTAACCTGGGATGTATTTGTTAACAGCAGTTTCTTTCACATGTCTATTTAAGATCTACCTGTGATTTTTAAGTCCTGCAAAATATCTTTGTCTCAGAACACTTTAAATTTCCAATAAATTATTTAAGTAATTTACTTGTTTTTAAGTCTCTTGAGAAGACATCGTTAATCTAGTTTAGATAACTGCTAAGATTAAAAAAAATTAATGAAAATAGAAACAGCAGCTCCACTTAAAAAACTCCAGGTATTATAAAACATGTAAACACAAATGTTTCTGTTTCTTATATTACATTAAAAATTGACACACAGGAAAAAAATACTCAAATATTGGTTTTAGATGATCAGTTAACTGCATGAATCTTTATCAAGGCTGGCTGGTAGAAAAGTATCCACTGTACTGGGGTTCTGGGGTTTGTTTGGGTTTTTTGGAGGGTAAGGTGGGAATTTCTTTGTATTTGGGAGTTTTTTAATCTTAAAACAGTGACAAGTGATAAAAATATTAGCTCAGACTCTTTGGTTGGGAACTTTTTTAACAGTGGACACATGAGCATTGCAATGCATACTGATAATTTTTTAAAAATAGCATTCACTTAGATTTTGGCATAAGTTCAGTCAGAATTCTGGCAGAAGAGACTTCCTGTAGAAGGTACTGAATCTGGCGTAAAAAGGGGGAAACCAGTAATTTTAAAGACCAGATGAACCAAATGATATACAGGTATTTCTCAAACCCAACATTTAAGTCGTGGCCTATTTGACTTAGCAGTCTGCTTGGTTTTTTTCTTTTTTAGGACTCCTCTTCAGTCATATATATTACCCAAACACATTTTACCTAATTTCCAATTTATACACAATGGAGATACATGTGAAATAGAGATTTTTGGAGTTCACTTAACAAAATGAATTAAGCATTTAAATTTCAGTTTGTAGAATTATGTGTTGAATTTTAAACTTTTACTGGAATAATTTCCATTGTTCCGGCCCGCTAAATGACAACGGTCGCTATGAAGGTTAGCTGCTGCTGCCCCATCTCAGCAAGGCCCGCTTTTAACAGCTCTTTCGGAACCCGAACCGAGCAGACAGCAGAAAGAAACATATAAAGGCCCGGGCAGAGACCGTACCTCCCCTTTCGGAAGCTGCCGGCTTCACCGCGCTGTTCCCGGCGACCCGGCCGGCTACGAGGCCTTCCCCGCCGGAGCCGCCCGGCCGTATCCCGCCGCTAGAGCAGGCCCCGGTGCTCTCCGAGCTGTGCGGCGTCTGCAGCAGTCCCAGGGTGTAGCGGGGTGTCTGCTCCGCCCGCCCGCCCACGCTCGGCGTGGAAGAGCCGCGGCCCGCGTAGGATTCCGAGGTGGCCGAGGCGATGGCCCGCCCGCCCGCGCCCGCCATGGTGCGAGCCTCAGCAGCGCCCGCCGCCCGCAATGGCGGCGCCCGGCCCGCCCCGCGCCCTCAGAGACGGGCCCGGCTGCTAAAAGCTGCCGAGCTGCAGCTACAAACGATACAGCAGTACGCAGAGCTGCTGGCCCTGCAGCGGCCTTCATTATAAATACGTAGGGAAAGTGCTTGCTCTGCTCTTTAAAGCAGAAGTACTGCATTTCAACTTAATTTACCCCGCATTAATTCCTCACCATTCAGACGTCTTTAGCAGAAGTTTAAGCAATGTTTTCTTCCTGCTCAGGAGTCTGGATACAGAAAGATCCCCGAAATAACCACAAAGCTAGTTTACCTCCGTAGTTGTCCTAAACACCTGCTTGTAAGAACGTTTTGGAACACTAACACTGCTTTGTATATTGGCATCATGTAACATACACCACTAAAATGTTTCAATTTACATTTTGCCTAGGCAAAATTTTGTCTCTGGCACTAAATACACCTGCATTATGAAACACTCCTTATACTCACACCTTTTTTAACCTATAATTGTGTATAAGATCTTTAGAAATCACAGCTGACTTAGGAAATTACATTGATCAAACTTCCATCAGAGAACTCCAATAATATTAATAGGATTTCAGTCTAAAGTGAAATGTTCTACACTGCTATGCAATATCACTCACATAATAATTCCCAGGCTATCTCTGTCTGTAAGAGACTAGAAACTCTGGAGATGATTCCATTTTGTCTACAGAGCACAGAAAAATAACAACTTTCTAGCTACTAAACAGTGTTTTCCTGGATGAAAACAATTGCACTTGCAATGAAAATTGAAAAAATGAAACTTTAAAAAAATTACTTTAAAATTGTTGGTTAACGTTTAGTCAAATCAAACCCAATCAGTGCTCTTGTTCCCTCACACTCAACACAAAGCCTTTTTTGTAAGGCTTTTTATTGTAACTTTTTCCCCAAACCTTGAAAGATAAAATTCCAGGATTTGAGCAAAGAATTCATTAGGCAAGCGGGCAGTTAAAAGGAGTAGAGTTTTTACCTTAACTGAAAGCCTGTAGGCTTTAAAAATACATTAGAAGTGCTTGAGCACTCAAATTCACATTTTCTTTTTGAAATCCATGACAAGTAAAGGTCTATCAAATATTGACTTTGTCCAGTTCCAGCTCACTCTACACTAACACAGCTAAAAGAACCCAGATATTGAGTCCCACCTGTAAAAGGCAAGGCACATTCAAGATCCAGCCACGCCACTACGATACCAACTACTGCTCCCTGAAGGCCAGAGCCTGGCACCCTCAAAAGACAAAGATAACTGTGCCCGCTGTCTACAACCCAGACATGAACAGTATGGTCTTTGCCAAAAGTATCTAGACAGATCAACTTACTCCTACACCACCCTGAGGCTGTGCTACCCTGTCTTTAGCATTGCTACACCCATGGGCAGGGCATCTCCAACCATGATACAGACACCCAACACTGCAAGCACTGTGACTGTGAGATGCGATAAGCGCACAAGCAACAGTGACTTCCATAGGGAATATGGCACCCAGCAGCAGAGAGGTCCAACAGTGCGGGTGCTCTATAGCAGCCCCGGAAAGTGGTGACTACTGTGGCCATCAGCAGAGATGTGGATGAGAGCCATCAAAAGCAGAGTGATGGATAAGCAAGAAGCCAAGCTTTAAGACAAATGACTTATGGACATGGGGATGCAATCCCTGGAAACAACTCTGTCAAAAAAAAAAACCTCACAGAAATGGAACTGAAGGTGCCAGCCACCTGGCTTACCACTGTGAGAGATGACTGCTTAGAAACATCTACAAAACGATAGACACCAGACTGATACACACCTTAAGCTGGAATTGCAAGACAAGAAAGGCTCGACAGGCACTAAGCTGATGTGGCAATGCACTTGTGACTAGCAGGAGGGCTACCAAGGTGTCTAGTGATCACTAAGTGCTATGGAGACATCAAGACCTGAGGAAGGTACAGTGTAAAATGCAGAAGACAGACTAACAGAGTTTATACAACACAGACACATCCTGGAACTGCTTTCCTTGGCACAGTTCTCACACTGTGCTGAGAAGTAACCTGCTCCCTTGACCTGCCCCAAGGGAACTGCTCCTGAACAGCTCTCTACCCTACATTGACTTTAAATCCATCCTTGCAATTCTCAACTTTGCCCCTTCCCCCCAGAGACATCCCTCCCTCAGCATCCTCCCCTCACCTTCGCTTTGGAGGAATGGGGTTCTTAAGCCATTTTTCTTGCTACTCACCAGCAAGTCTAGGCAGGGGAGCCTCAGTAACACCACCCTGCTCTGGGGCCCACCCGCTGCTGGGTGTCCATGCACCTGGGGCTGACGGTACGCACTGACCATGGTTGCGACAACACCATGGCCCTCACAACCATGCAAAGACTCCCTCGTAGCCTCTGCATTGCGACCCTCTGGTGCCAATCTGAGCTCTCCTGCTGTGCCACCTTCAGCAAACCGGAGGCATCCACACCTGCTGAGGCGTCTCACTCGCCTCACCCATGTCCAGTGGCCGTCAGCATTTCTCAGAGGGGAGATATGCCCTGAGCCCTATGGTGATGCCCCTGTGACCAGAGAAACGGGTGCAGCAGCACCAGATCCCAAGCACGGGAGCCAGGACGGCAGTAGAGAGCAGCTGGCCGGAAAGGAAACGGTGCCCTGATGGGGTGGTAGCACACCGGGACCCCTAACCGAGAGGGGGACGTCCTGCAGCCAGCGGGAAGCTCGGATTGCCAGCCATGTGGCGGGGCTCCAGTGCACCACGGGAAGTGTTCATGCAGGTGGAGAGCTTCATTCTGGACAAGTCATCATCGAAGTGCTTTTGGAGTACGTTTTATATAAAACCGAAGAAAAATAAACCTTTGATACAAATAAGTAACAAAATTAATGTAGCAGACAATTATGTTTTTTATCTACAACAGTCAACAATACAAAGAATTAGATATAAAAGGTTTCTTGGTCAAAAGTTTACTATACATTTGGAACATCTGTCCCCCTGTCTCAAGACTGATCAAATATAAAGAAATTAAGCATAAAGTTTTCTGGCCCTCAAGAGATGCCATGATCCTAGGACTGAAGAAAAATATTCTCAAAACAAAACTACTGAGTCTATTCTCCAGAACAGATACTTGAATAAAACAAAACTTAGGAAAAAAAAATTAGGCTCCATCACCAAATATATTTGCTACAGGGAGCACTGGGATAAAAAAAGAATGTAGATGATACTGAAATCTGTCCTTATGTTACCTGTATGATTTGAAAAAATCTGTCTTTGGGAGAAGTGAGGTCAGTTTGCAGATACTGTCTAAGGAAACTGAAAGGGGGGGAGGGGGAGAATTCTCATTGATGGGATCATTTTGTATTCGTTGTACTGCAAAATGACCAAGGACAATGTTTCTGACTATGAAAAACAAACTCCTTCACCAGAGATTAACCTGAAGCCTGAACAACTTTGGGAAATAATTATACCCTGGGTTTTCTCCCCAGTGTTTTCAGTTGGCATTTCTCTGAGGGAGAGGGAGGCTTTCATGAAGGTACTTCATGCTCCCATGCTCTGAAAAGTCAGAAACAACGTGATTGTCTCCCCTCAGCAACCACTTCGTAGTTAAGAGTCCTTCAATTCCCACTGGTCCACGTGCATGGATACGCGAAGTACTAATTCCCACTTCAGCACCTGCAGGAAACACCCAAAATAAAGGTAGTTAATCCTCTGATGATGTTCTCTTCATACTAAATGCTTTTGTACCTCAAAGTAGAAAAGCTGCCTGCCTTTCAGGGACCTGCCATTCTCTGCTCCTCTCCAAATACCAGTGAGAGAGAAGCAAAAGGAGATTAATTATTACATTATAAATTGTAATGTTTCTACTTCTGGCTACTAGAGTTACTTTCAGAAAGAAAGATTCGAGAGAGAGAGAGGTATCTCCTACATTGCTCTTAGACTGATCTAAGGACAGAATCCTTGAAAAAAAGAAAAAAAGGTAAACTAGTAACGATTATGATCTTACATCCTTTTTTATCACATTGAGGAGATATTGGAAGACCTTAAATGGAATTTTTCAGTCACATGGAACACCGTTCCAGCTAACACAGTAATAGCGTGTAGTGGAGACTTCTGATTTTCTACCTCATCAAGGAATGTTTCCCTTATCTTCGGCAATTCACAGTAGGTACACCTGTTTATTTAGTAAGTTGATACTCAGTTTAGTTCCTACCCTTCATTCCTGAACATTACAGGAAGCGCACACTGGACAGCATCTCAATCTGCCCAGCAGGACTGAAGCATTGCATTCTTTACAGCATCATTAGAAAGAGAAACAAGGAAAACTGTTCAGCAGTTTCACATGCTGTATTGCATTGTTCTGTCACTATATGCATGCAGCATACTTTATTGCAATTGAATAGAGCTTCAAAGGATCCAAAATATCTTTGTGTGGATGAAATTTCTAGGCTTCAACTTTTCATACAGTACCTTTCCTGAAAACCTTTTATTAGACAGTAAGATAAGAGACTAATCCTATATTTCAAGACTCATACTGCCACACTTTTCACACACCACAAAATTCTGCAGTCACAGCCCTACAATATCTTCCTTCTTACCAAGTCCAAACCTATAGCCATCAGAGAATCGGGTACTGGCATTCCAGAAAACACAAGCGCTGTCCACATGCTGGAGGAAGAACTCTGCTGTTTTCTCTGGGAAAGAGGGAGAGAAAAATAAAATCCATTACATACTGAATGAGCATGTATTCCAATACACACTGCATAAAACAGTGAACATACGTAACAATACAACTTTCACATGCAACTTTATCAGACAGTACTTAAACAGCCTGGGCTAAGCCATGCTCATTTTTACCTTCCTCCCAGTATGCTTATCAAGTAGACACAACTGCAAATCTCAGAATAAGCTTGCAAAGATTAGAAGGAAGCAAAAAGATGCCTAATTCTAACTCCATTCAATTTAGTCAAAGAGATTATTTGCATGACCAAGGAGAAAGAACTGCTGCCCCAAACAGCATTTGTCATTCAAACTGAGACAGTTAAGCTACAGTCAGCTCTCCATTAGTCTCAAACATGGAATTGTTCCAAATACTGAGAAATCCTAAACTCAATTGATATTGCAAGTACTATTTGAGAACTACCATGCAGAAATGCCATGTGCAAATGTGTGAACTCGGAAGTCAGTAGCCCTTAGCAACAAGACAGACATTCAAGAGCAACTCTACTTCCAGTATAAATCACTAGCTCACCAGGTGTTGTGCAGTAGTTATGGTATCAAATGCATACCCTTTAGTAACAAGCATTTAAGCTCAGCAAGAAGTACAGAAACAGAAGCATACTTGGCTCACACTGGCCAGCTGCAGATCAACATGACCTTAACTGCAGCTGATTCTCAGAAGTTCTGGGCTTGGTTTGGCTGGAGAGTCAACCTTTGCCTTGGCACAGCTCTAGTAAGGTTTTGAACTGGCAGACCAAGAGATGAACTACTACAATGAAGTTAGTTGCACTAACACCCGTCAAACCAAAACAGCAGCTTAAAGAAGGAGCCAGGTCACTAACCATTCTCTGTGATAATAACATCTGTATGAGAACTTCCATATTTGTGGATATGTTCAACAGCCTCTTGAACACTATCCACCACCTCAATGCAGCACTCCAGGTCCCCATATTCTGTGCGCAGCGATTTCACTTCTGAAGGACTGAATGTCAAGTAAGATGCAAACTTTGGGCCAGCGTGAATCTTCACCTGCAATACCAGAAACATTTTGTTTGTGGCTACTGACCATACCAGAGCCTTTCAGGTGAAAGTATAGCTTCTTGTACTCAATATGGTATAGATAGCAGTCCCTGTGATACTATGTTTTGGACTTCTGACTAAAACAGTGTTAAAAGCAAACCAATGTTTTGGCTGTTGCTGAACAGAGCTTGCATAATATCAAGATTCTCTCTTCCCCTCTGTTCCAACTCTGTGCCCCTAGCACAAAGACTGGGAGTGTGCAGGAATTTGGGAGGGAACACAGCCAACAGCTGACCAGAACTGACCAAAGAGGTGTTCCATGCTGTATAATGTCATGTGCAGCAATACAAACTGAGGGGAGGGGGTTTTTGAAGAAGGTAGGCATTGCCCAAGAGACTGGCTGGGCATTATTTTTTTGTGGCAGACAGCAAGTAATTAGCTTTGCCTTGTGGATGTTGCTGTGGGTTTTTAGTTTTGTTTTGGGGCTTACTTTTTTATTGGTTATTTCCTCCACTTTGTCCCCTTTCTTCTTCCTGTCTCCTTCACTTATCAAGCTGTCTTTTAACCTACAAGATTCTTTGGTTTTGTTCTAATTTTCTCCTCCTGTCCCACTTGGAGCAGGGGAAAGCAAGCAGGCAGCTGGATGATGCTTAGCCACTGAGTGGAGTTAATCCACAACATGCATGCAAGTGTAAGAAAAATACACCTATACTTTGGGAAACTTGGTATATAAGTGAATAGGTATATAGGTGACTTAGCTACAAGGTACAATAAGTGACTGACATGCTAGGTTGGCTACCTACCATGACAAGCTCTAATTCAGGACTCATTTGAAATTACTTAAAGCAATTGCATCACTTAGTCACCAGGCAGAAAAGGCCAGTACAGCACTGCTAGGAAAACAGCTAAAATTCTGACACCAGCCTTTGTTTTAAGACAGCAACTGCAGACAATAATGAAAGGAATGTTTCCAAGTTTGCAGCTACGGAAGTCATAAGATCTTGAATTACTTTTATCCTTTTACTCTATAAATTGATACCAGCCATCTCTGAAGCACATCTCAGACACAAAGGAGTCACTGGGTCCAAAACTGAAAAAACTCACACAGATGTTTTTCATTTGTTATAAAGAAAATTTTAACACATTATCAACATCTGCCAAAACACCTAAACAATGAGAGATAATTTAGAACAGATACAGCACAGAAATTCCATGCAGATGAATCTCCATTCAAACAGGAAATTTTGACAAACATAAATGGGAAATAAGGCGCAAGTCTACTGAATGTGAAGGCTTCTAAGACAGTATCTGTAAACCAGCATTTTCTTGTGCAACTATAAATTACTTGAATTGCATAATCCTGCCCGATATTTCTTGTTATCAGGTTAGATTAGACAGAGGTAATATCCTCCCCACTGTATAAGGAGATGGGTTAGGGTTGATGGTGGAAATGCACTGGTACACATATTCCTCCCATTCAAAACACAAACATCTACCCTGCTCTCTACCCTTCCCAAGAAACAATTAAACAAGACATTAAAAAGCCCCAAACATTGAGAACTTGCTCCTTGACTACTTACCAGTTTCTTTTACTATAACCCTTTCAACAGCATTAAAACATACGACCTCTCTATCTTGCACTAATCACTGCCTGTGCACTTTATTTTTCAAATACACAGTGCTGTGTGAAAACCCTTAATTTATGTGCAATTCATACTACTTCATGGATACTTCTTCCTGATGCATCTCGGATACCTTTACTGAAAAAACATTGCTTGTGTCTAGACAACTAATTAGTATGCTGGCCTTTTGATACCCCCTGACATACCAGGAGGGAAAATGGGTGGGAACAAAGGGCATCCAAGAGGAAAATTTTTAAAAACACATGTATGAAGCAAATTCAGAAAGGACAAAAACAGAAGGAAATTCACTTGGGTAAGAAGCTAAATTAATAGATTCAGGAAGACAAGGCTTTGCATCTGACTGAATCTGAAAAGGCAGAGAAAGGTTGTGTATATGCTTTTTATGGAAGATTATTTTTGCTATATATAAGGAAGTATATAGCAAAGGTATCCCAGTAACAGCCTGCAGCTGTCCTGAATAAGCTGCTTTCAGATCATTTCTACAGGAACACTTGATGCTGTGTGGAGAAGCAATGTTCATTGACATGTACGAAGACACCTATTGGTAACTAAAATGTTATGCCATGTAAACAGGGCTACACCAGCCAGACCAAATGCTTCTAAAGTTTTACCAAAAAAACAGACAAAAACCACAAAACACAAATATGAGTGACTAACCTGTTCTACTCTCAACATGTCTATGATCTGATCAAACAACGGGGTTCTCAGCAAGTCTCGATGAATTAAGAGAGTTTCCAGAGCATTACAGGCAGCAGGATATTCACACTTTGAGTCTCTGACTGAGGTTTAAGAGTACATAAATGGTTACACATAATATTTACAACAAAGATTTTTGGATAATATATAAATTATAAATTAGCATATCTACATTGCATACTCCAAAAATCAATTACAAGATTGAGATTCAAGTCGCCCTCCCATAGCTTACTTATTCGTGTGACCTTCTCAACACTGGCATCCGTGTCAACATACACATGACAGATCCCTTCACTGTGACCCATCACTGGGATTCCCTTAGCAGCTTTCTGGATATTCCTGACTAGCTGTGATGAACCACGTGGAATGATGAGATCTATCAGCTTATCCAAACGGCAGAGATCTTCTACTTCCTCTCTTGTGTTCACCTGTGGTAGTTGTAATACAAAGAGCTTACAGTTTTAACTCTCAGGTTTTGCCCACACTTTTTATACATACTATAGCAAAGAAATAGTTCATTTAACTCTAGGCACTTACCAGTTGCACTGCATCTCTGACTCCATGAATAGAGAGGGCTTCTTGTGTCAGATGATGAAGGATTTGATTGCTATGTGCTGCCTCTTTCCCTCCTTTAAGTAGTAAGCCATTTCCACTGGCTATGGCCAAAGCAGACACCTGTTAAAGGAGTTTATTATTATAAAGGAGTTTATTATTAAGGGGAAAGAAAAAACCCCTTAAATGTATTCTGGTTCTTTTGTCAGAATAACACCCATAGAACAAAACCAGGATTTTTTGTTCAGTTGATTTACTCAATATTAATCTACAGGTTTCTTTTCATGGCACTGAAAAACCATTACAAGTAGCAGCACATTTAACTCCAGAAATTAAATGTGCTAATTTCAATAACAAACTTGAGTTTTCAGGGTACTATTGCAATGGAGAGACAACAGTGAACAAGTCAGAAGAAACTATGGAAATAGGGCTTCATATGAATTGTAGACCTGTGTGGGCAATTACCCCAAGGAGAATAATTTTAGCAGCAAGAACTCTTGTCCCTAACCATTCCAGCAGAGAGTGGCAAATAGGCTCTTCCTATGAACAGGAAAAACATTTTTATCATGCTGTCTAAAACAGCAGTCATAAACAGACAACACTTCCTCTAAGCGTGGAGAAAAAAAGAATTGAGACAATATCATCCACCATCATCTTTGCTTCCATGTTTATCACCAGAAGAAACTGATAGATACTGCTGCCCTTCTGTTTAAGGTGTTAGATTTCACCCATTTAAATCCAGCAATGCAAGAGGTCTTTGTTCCTTTCTACCTCAGAGCATGTCAGATGCAATAAAGCTCTTTTTCAAAACTAATTTTAATTTTGCATTCTTTTTTGTATTCCTCATCCCAGCTTCATTCACTATGGCCTCACAATTTGTCTACCGACTTAAAAAAAGTTTAAAAGCATGCACTCCTTTGGAAAACAAAATCACCTCCTCTCCAGAGGTATATTTATTCTCTTTAGAATAAACAAGCTCAGTATTTTAAGTTATTTTGCTGTATTACTGTCACTGGGAAAGATTATATGTATCATTATCTAATTACCAAACGTACATTCATTAGAGTATCTATTGTGTATTGTTGAGATGCTGATGCCAAAATTAGCCAGGCTCACATCTAATAAGAAGTTAGCTTGGTGGCACGCTTTAGATCCTGATTAATAAAATAACCTGCCAGATATATCTTTCCACTTCTAGTATCAAATAGGTAATAATAATCCAAATGCTTGATATTCTACATCATTTGAAAAGAATATTGAAAACAAGAAACACATTAGAAAAACACACTGAAGTGTAACCGTCTAGGAAGTCTGCCTTACACAACTATCATGTGTCTTTTTGGCTTATATAATTAGACATTAAAAAGCCATCTGACTGTATTTGAAAAGTACCTTCTATCTGCTCCTCCAGATCAGTATCACGAAAGGAAACTAAACAAATAAGTTTATTTCAATAAAGAGGCATAAGATTAAAAGAAAGGTTTTGACCTGGTTTGAAAAAATGGAAAGAAAAAAAATACCAAGAAGACACAAAAATTAAAAATTTGAGATTAGAAGTAGAACACAAGGTAAGGGGTTTCAAAATGGTTCAGTCTCAAAGACTAGTAGGACATGACTACACTTCAGAACAACAACTGGATTTGGTGGAATCTATACAAAACAGTCTCTAAAGGATGCTTGCAATTTCACCCTGTAAGTATTAGAGGTAAACATGCTGTTTGTACATGCTCACTAGAAGCTTATCAAATCTTAACCCAAAAAGCATGAGATGCAGTAGTAGACTAAGGGGAGGGAACTGCTCCTCTCAGTCAGAGACTCTCCTACTATCAGGTACAAGATGGGACAGAAATCATGCAATTCAAATACAGAGTTATCAAAGATGATCCTCTGAAGCTGCATCAGGAAGCCTGATGTGAGCATGAGGACAGGAGGCTGGCAAGACGCAAAGCAACTACCAAGACAAGCTATCCCAAGTCTGTAAAACAAAGCAGGGGAAGAGAGGGCAGGGCAGGGAAGCCAGCAGGACTCAGTCTGGTGTAAGTTTTAAGACACAGCAAAGAGAAAGAGGAAGACACCAGCTATGCAAGGCAAGAGAGCTGGGTTGAAGTCCAGACGCAAATTCAACAATGTAAAATACCAGCTATCTGTAACAAACAGAGCTGGTAGTCAAGGAAGACTAGTGCCTTTTTGTTTCACAAGAACTTTTCTTACAGCATTCTCCTTTCCACTGTGAAACGGGGACTATTCACAAAAATATGGCATGAAGTACAAAGCTGTCCACTCGTTGAGCCTCACATCCTCAAAGTGGCTGTACCCATCATTTTCTACTCAAAAACTTGCTCATTAGAAAACTCCTCAAGCTTCCTAGATACCTAATGTTAATTGTGGGAAGAAATGTTGCTAATCAGGGGTTTTTTTGTTTGTTTGTTTTCATTTTAAAATCTACTTCCATTGCTCAGTAAAGTACTTGGGAGTTAGAAAGTAAGACCAAGGTTGCCTCTGTGACATTAGTTCAGCACCCGTATTTTCATCCATTTTTTAACAGGATTTAATTATAGCAACACTTCTACACAGTGGTGCAGAGGAAGGTATTTGCCTGTAACATATCTGCCTTATTCCTGGCATAAGACACGATTAACTGAACACAGAAGCAAGGTCTGAAAACATCTCTGCATAAAAACAGGGATGCCAAAAAAATCAATTGTAGAAGAATCCAAGCAAGAATCTTTTGTTTGCTTGCCAACAGAAATACCCAACGGTGTAATCTACCTTGCTTACACACCTGTGGAAGACAGTCAGGACGAGATTCAAAGATCACGAGAAGGACACCAATTGGCACTGTCACCTGCTCCAAATCCAGGTCTTTTGCTATTCGAGTTCGTCTAATTACACGGCCCACGCTGTCCTGCGAGGACGCTGCAATCTGACGCAGACCAATAGCCAAGCTGTTTAGCTTTGAAGTAGACAGACTTAGGCGTTTCAACAAAGGGAGTGCTAATCTCCCTAAAACAAAGAAAAAGTCGTGCTGAAGATAGATTGGTCTTCCTAGGCTAAAGGAGAAGTGACTTAAATGAGTGCTCAACCTAAGGAAAATTAAGATATTTCCCACACCCTAGCAAGTTATCTACCTGAGATTAAAGATGCATAGCATCAAGTCTGGTAGTCACAATAAAACCCCTCAAATATGATGACTATTTCACCCACCACATTTTCAATTAATGAGGTTTAAGTGCTTTGTACATGAAGCAACCACACAAACTACCAACATCCAGAAAGATAAGGTTTGTCCTATTTAATGTACTGAATGCATGACTGAATTTCCTACAAATTTCTACCCTTGCAGTATTTCTTAAACGTCCAGGCAGTAATTGCATCCTTCTGCATTACAAACAGAAACACCAAAGCGCAGACACATGCATAGCATTTCTGTGCAGACTAGGCAAGAACAACTTGAATTTTCTAGTCTGAACACGTTCAAACAGTAAGTTAACCCAGCAATGTCCCCTCGTATACTCTGGTCAGTGATGCCTTCCACATGTTATTACAATTCATGATGTGTCCTCTTCATGTACTTGTTATGCCAACACGTACATATCTCAATCCCAGCTTCTCAATGAATGCATTAGTCCAGCACAGAAGAGCGGGTTTCATCTGAGCCATCTAAACAGAACCTTCCTCAATCAGAAGGGGACAACTGATGCTTTGGCAAGCATCAATTTAAGTGTAGAGATGATAGCCTTCCCTTCAGGAACCAAACATTACATTAACCAGCCCAGAAGATACTCACTTTGTTCATGACAGTAACAGAGATATTTGTTTCATTAAAAAAAAAAAAAATTACAATACACCACTTGGTGTTTTGCACTGCCTCAGTATCTTCTCTGATGAAGGCATCTGTTTTATGCAATGAAGGAGGCTGCAGCTGTTAACACTGACAAGCTCTCAAAGTCCTGGGTTCAATAATCTGTGTCAGCCATACTGCCCAATCCCGAGTTACAGCAGATTCTAGTTCTGCTCATTTGTCTTGAGGTCCAGAGAGCTCCAGGATGATAATATTACTGTGGAAGGTTTGAAACAGTACCTTTATTTTCAGCTTCCTCTAAGTCCTTCTTGTTTGCCAAGAGAATTTCTTCCCTCTGGTCCGTTAGTAAGTCAGCAAGACGATAAATAATCTCTGCTCTCTGAAAGAGAAAACAGTTTCTGAACTGACTTCTTACTCAAAGTCCATGCTATTTGACACCTAGTTCCTATAGGCCATTTAGGCTGACCACATCCTCTCACTATCTCAACTCTCCTGATACTTGGGCAGCTGATTTTTCCAGCCTGCATCACACTGAAAAAGAAGACCGAACACTGCTTCAGCCTCTACCTTGCTTTTTATTATCTTGCTTTCCTTTCCCAGTCTTCTTCACCAAACTGACATATCCTTCCTTTAAGACCAACTTGTACCACATCATACCCACCCAGCTGCAGAGCAGTAATTGTCTACAGCTCCACTTTTGAATACATGCTGTATGCTAAACTCTGCACATGTGTGAATGGAGCAAGTTATACCAGCCCATTCTTCAGCAGCTCGGATCACAATTCACTTCTGTGTGTTACTTGATGCTATCAAAATTTTTATAAACCCCATATGAAAGTCTGTATTACTTCACAATTTTTGCTTTTATCATCTTTAAGCAGGCTACAATACAAACAGTGGATCTGGCACCGAACAAATTCTTGTCCCACGGGGTCCATTTATGTTATTAGCCTGTGTTGTAAAACTTGCCACACATGCACATTATTAACAACTTGACCATATTGTTCTGTCACCTGCTCAGGCTGTAGAGCCGCCAAGGTCCTGCCACCAGCTCGAGCCATTTCAGCCTGCTGTTCTACAGTAGGGCCTGCAAAAAAACCCCAAAAATATGCTATGCAGACAAAGTAACAGCACAGGCAGAAGTGAGCACTAATCCATTCGTCTTCCAATTCTTTGTTTAGAACATGAAACAGTTTTAAACAGACAAATTCAAGAAAAATGTTGTATCTTAAGACAGAAAAGTCTATACCTGACACAAAAATACTGTTATAGTCACTACATAAAGAATCATCACAAAGTCTCTGCCTCTGTGTAACAGCAAGTGTGCAGCATGTATCCAAAAGACTTGACAAAGGCCAAAAGAACAACAGGATAGCTAAGTCACCAGGGCATAGTAGGCTACTGAAAGAAAAGAGGCAAACTTTGAAAAGTTTAAGTATCCAGCTGAGAAATGTATGCATGGTAACACATAAACAATAATGGAAGCCAAAACCCTAGTAACAGCTTGCAGAAAAATTGCTTTCCCTGTCTTTCCTTTAATGCATTTTAGAAGCAAGGTGCTGAAATTATATAAAACAGGTTGTGTTTCTGTTTCAAATCACCATGTACAGGTAGCATTTCTGCAAAGAATTCACAAGTAGCTCGTGGAAAAACTGCCATTTTTAACTCTCCTGAAATAGCCTGTAAACCAGGTATCTTGAACCCAACTTCCATTTAAGAAGAGTGCTATGGAAATTGCCAGAGTAGAAATTATAGAGAGGTTTAGTGGGAAGTGTAAGAAAAGAACATGTGGACATGAGATTAATTAGACTCATTTAAGACATCTTAAACCAGCTTCTTGAAGTGATATCATACTTTACAAAATATAGCATTTTTTAGTGTTCTTGGAGAAGTAATATGTATGTAAGCAGGTATACTTGATTTTTTAAGTTACTTGAATTTCCAAAGTGTGGGTTTTAGAAGATACAAGACAAAAAGATGACTGGAATAAACACCACAACAGTCCACAGGGACAGGCTTTTGCTGCTTACCATATTTGTGACTCAGAATGGGATCACAAGACTAGAAGCTTTACTGCTGATACCAACTTATTATAGTGGGGCTAACCAAAAAGGCACTTGAGCATAACAACACCAAGTGTGTTCAAAGGATGATTTGACATATTTATACAAGAAATCCATTAAGGGTTACTATACTCAAAGAAATTCACTTGGCCTAAAGTTGAAGTCAAAAGTATCACACTTAGTCTGCTAAGGTGATGGATCTTTGGTCTGATTTCATCCAATTATTACACTGTTCCAGCAGTGCAGTGGCAGGAAAACATTCCTACCTACCACACAAGAAGACTGAGTCATAAAATAAATTAAAGATAAAAAAATAAACCTAAACACCACCTTAGTTCAGCAGCACATTCTATATCTATATTTTCACAGTGAAATCATGGATACTTGATAATAACTCTTAAGACTACAAAAGGCAAAACTTCTACTCTACTCACTGCGTTCTTCAAATGCAAGTCTGATGTACCAGTTTATCAGCTGGAGGGAAGAAGAGCAGGGAATTCAGCAATTTCTATCCCTACTTCAGAAAATACCTTTCAAAATCCATTTCGCAAGCAGAGAGTAGTTTTCCAGTTATTGCACAGCTCTGGACAAATTTTAACTCTAATTTTTCAGGAAATTTCTACAACTGTCAAGGTACACATTAACTCTGTACTCACCTGCAGGTTTTACCTCAGAAAAAAAAGTTCCAACTTTTTTCCCTTCTACAATATCCGTGATGACATGACCTGAGATCTTTGGGTGGGTTCCATTTGCAATCACTACTGAAGTGCCTCCTTGCAGGGCCCACAGAGCTGCTTTCACCTACAGGAAAGGACAGAGCCAGTTGCAAGAGATTCACTGTTTATTTGAACCATCACTCTCAACAAGACTTCTTCGTCCACTCTGATGGCCAGATTGATCACTTATGCTTTCAAAAAGCATTCAACACACTTTGGGAATCTCTGAACTTCAATGTTGGAATACTGGTATTTGCTAAATCTTCTACAGTATGTTAAGTTTAAATCACGATTAACTCATTAATAATGGTCCTATGAAATCCCTGTGTACTGACTGGTCTGAAGACTAGCCTCTTTGCACATTTTTGAGCAGAATGATTTCTCTCAAATCCCAGATGCTACCTGCTGAAGAGGTACTGCCAGTGGTTTCCTTCATTTATTTTCCCAGTCACGTATTAGCCAATATGGGCAATATTATTCACTACTTATATTTAATTATGTGTCATTTATTTAATTGAAAAGGCTTCTCTGCTTACTCACTTCTATGCTTTCCTAATATGGTTCTACAATTTGGTATAAGATTCCATAGTCACAATGAGACACAAATGTCAGATAGGCCTATCACATCAAACTCCGCTATCAAAAAAATCATCAGCTGCTTCATTACTGCTCAAATTTCATGCCAAAAAACAAGACTTGTTCTTTGAGCCACTATCTGTTTTCTATTATTGGCGCTACAGTTTTCTAAAAATGTTTCTTACATTCTCAACTGTAGCAAATTTTTGTTACAACACCTGCATCAAGATTTGCCTCTATGTGACTCATAAGACACCAAGTAACTCTTACAGATTATTACTTGTACAATAAAGTACTCTCTGACCTTGGCAGCTTTACCTTCAATACCTGGAATTGTTTCAATTATCCTAGAAGCCAGATAAGGGAAAGTCATTTCTGCATAAGCTTTGTAGATTCCATAGTTACAAATGCCTCCTCCTTTTGCCACCTTCCAGTCCATGCTCTGATACTTAAGAGTGTGCCCTACTGAGTCTTCAGAAAAGGGAACAATCAATAACATAACTGGTGAAGAACTTTACTTTGGCCTTTTCCTGCTTAGTCAAGATCTGTTATGGTTTTTACAGATAACTTTCCAGATATGTCCCAGGGAAACCTGCAGCAATTAATACTACAGCAGTGCATATCTCAGCCTCAGAAGAGGTTCATGAGAGCCTCGTGAGAGACATGCTGAAGTCGAACAACGCACCCATATTTATGTACTCAAGCAATGAATACTGAGACCACCCGACTGTACACAGGACTAAAACCCATTAGCCCTCCCACCTCTACTAATCTTGCGCTCAAAAACTGAAGTACCTTGGTCTCCACCAATATGTCTTTCAGAAGCAAACAGTAAATTGCACAAACTCAGAAAGGAGAGAGAGGTACCATATCAGATTTAAGGGACAGGGATTCCCAAAGTCTTTGAATTATCACATAAGAAAGAATTGAGACTGACTCTTATTTTAACTTAAACCACAAAAATACAGTTCCAAATGTCACTTTTAAAAATCTACTCAAGTGTAATTCTTTACTTGCTCTTTTCAATTCACATCGACCTCAAAGAAAAGCAAAGGGAACACACATACCATTTCAGGGTAGTCAAAGAATAGCTGAAGCTGGAAAGGATCCCTGGAAATTATACAGTCCAACTGCCTGCTCAAAGCAGGGTCAACTAGAGCAAGATACTTAAAACATCATCCAGTCAGGTTTTGAACATCTCCAAACAGAGAATCTACAGGTTCTCTTGGCAACCTGCTCCAGTGCTTCAGCAACCTCATTGTGAAATTCTTACATTTCAGTTTATTGACTTGTATTTCATTCTGTGCCCATGGCCTCATGTCTGTTCCCTGGATACCGCTGAGAAGTGTCTTGTTCTGCCTTCTCTAAACCCTTCCTTCAGCTACTTATACCCAAACCTTCTCTTTTCCAGTGTAAACAAGCCTAGCTCTCGGCCTCTCTTAGTGTGACAGTGCTCCAATTCTTTAATCATATTCATGGCTCTCTGTTGGTTTCACTGTAGCATGCCATGTCCTTCCTGTACTGCAGTATCTAGAACCAGACACAATTCTAGAGATGTGGTTTCACTAGTGCTGAGTAGATAAAAGTGAACATCTTCCTTGACTTGCTATGTTCTTTTTCATACAACCTTGGACACTGTTGGCCTGCTTTGCCCAAAGGCCATATTGCTGGTGTACATTACATTTGGTGTCTACCAGGACCTCTATGCCCTTTTCACTCAACCTGCATTCAAGACAGTCAGTTCTTCAGGCCATAACAGTGTCCCCAGGCATAAGACTCAGCATTTCCTTTTATTGAACTCCTGAGGTTCCTCCTGCCTACCCATTCCTGCAGCCTGCCAAGATCCCTTTGAACAGCAGCACAAAGCACAGTCATCTCATGTAGCTCCCTCTCCTTCCCAATTGTGAAGGAAATGTTCCATATTTCTACCTTGGCTTCCATGCCACCCATCCCCACTCGGGATTTGGTTCCAAATGTTACAGACTGCTGGTCTCCTGGGTAGAATATGTCAATAAGCTTTGCATCATCAGACCCTGGAGGGTTGTCAAAGAGTCCTGAAATAAATCATAAAAATCAGTTATATATCCTCATGTTGAAAGCTCACCCATGAAAAACTGGAAAAAAAGAGAAACCAACAAAAGCAACCAACATGAGGCTAAAAAGCTCTGTTCCACTTTATAGGATTGAAAACTTCCACTGAACCCTTATTTTCGTGGGAAAAGAAAAGCACAAAATTCTTAACTGGTAGACCCAAAAGGCATAGGTCTATTGAAAGTCTAAAAATAGGAAGCCAAAAGCCCACATGCTGAATAGCAGTAAGCAAGCTGGGAGGTAATAACATTTGGTTGAGGTTTGAGACAGTTTGCAGCTTTTAGCTATTCAAAATCAGGCCTTCAATACACAAACCCTCAACTGAACTGGCAAAGAATAGTCTTCCTCACAAAAGACTCAGATGATATTCTTGAAAGGTGGATTGCATAGTGAGAAAACAGGCAATTCAGAAACATGTAAAAAGGGTAACTGCCGCCCTGATTTTTAAGATTTTCTAAAGCCTTATGAGTTTGCATTCTTGTAGAAAACTTTCTCACACAACTTTCTGTAAATAACCTATTGTTTTGCATTCCTTCATAAAGGCAGAGAAATTTGATGTACTAGTAGCTTGTCCAGTGTCGTTGGAGAGGTGGCACTTTCACCCTCCAATCCATTGTCACCTTTAGAAAATATAAATCTTAGAGTCAGTAATAAAACCTCTTCTTTGTTACCTTTGCAATAGCTGTGGCTCGCATCGTGCTTTCATGTGCCCTATAGTGACAAGTTACTATTGAATTCTACTAAGAAGGAACACGACACTACAGAGACATACTTGTATTAGCATTTTTAAAAATCAAGTAATTTAATGTCACTATGCTTCGAGTCGAATGACACTTCAGTTTACCCAACATATTAAACTTTAGCTCTACCACTACACTTCCTAGAAATTCTATGTGCACAAATACTGCCACAACAAACTAGAGAGCACAAGTGCAGTATATCTGTGACCATTCTTGATAGCTTGGGAAGTAGAGAACATCTCTCCATAAACAAGCTGTCACATTGAATGAATAAGCTTGGAGGAGAGGTGTGCTGGTTTTGGGTCTGTTTACAAACTTATTTGACTATTATTTTTATGAGTTGTTCTAAGATAGTAATTTTGACTAGAATTAACCAGCTAGAATAGAAGTAACCAGCTAGACTAGAATGAAACCCAGCTGCATCTGCTAAAATAAACAGTGCTTATGGAAAGACACCTCTTTCCTCCTCAGCACCTCAAGCATGTGCTGAAAGCCAGGATCTACTGAAAGAAACCCATCTGGAGAACATGAAAAGACTATGTGACTTAAGGTGATATGGACTGCATTGATCTGAAACTGTACCCACTACCCTCCTCTTTCTAGAAAAGGAAGTTCAACATCCATAGGTGACAGGATTATGCCTGAATAGCTCAGAAGACTAGAGCAATGTAAGCCAAAAGTAAGGGAGACAGAAAAAGCTAGCAAGACCCAGGTACCTGGAAAGCAATGACCAGGACTTGCAATATACCAATAATCCACTGACAGAACCTGCTGCTAGAAGAAACAAACTATTGTAGAATAGTATTTGGTTTATACTCCTGATTCAAGACACATAGCTTTTATCCTGCATACTATTCCTGACTATCATACAACTCTGAGAACCTAGGAGAAGTACCACAATATATGTAATATTCTGGGATCTGGAATAGGTCTCAGGTTCACATGCATTCTCACCCATCCCAATTCAACAAAGTGGCAGACAGTGTTTGGTTTATGCAACAGCATTAACATTGGGTATAGGCCTTAAGGAGTTATTTTAGTACATTGCAATTGTCCTTGTAAAACAGATGAACTGAAGAAATCACTAAAACAGGAAAAGAGGTTGGTTTGACAATCTGATGTGCTTCACTAAAGCCAGAAATTAAAGAAATTATTCACAAACCTTCTACATCTGAAAGAACAATCAGGAGATCAGTTTTCATTTCTACAGCCAGTCGTGCTGCCAGACTGTCATTATCCTTCACACTAATTACCTGCAATACACATGCATATCAGAAGCAGTAAATAGTGTGAAGAACTAAGAAATATTTGGTGCCAACATAAAAAAGCAATTTACCTCAGCTAACTAAGACTAACAAGTCTTCCTGAGCTACTTTTTTCACACCCACTGGAAACTTCGAACATGATCTTTGTGTGAAAGTACATATACTTCAGTAAAGTGGTATCCAAATGACAAGCAGTGTCATCAGTACTTGAATTCTCCACCTTAGTGCCCAGTAACAGGCCAAGAGGCACTAACTGACACTGATTTAAGAAAGGGTGCTGGAATAGATGACCTGCAGAGGCATGCTTGCTGTTGGTAAAACAGACAATAATTGCCCTGGTTTCACCCCACAACACTGTATCATGCCAAATACAGACAAGTCAACACAGTATTTCAGTACTCTCTGTCCACATACTAATTCTGTATCTTTGTTTCTCTGCCGTAGACTTCAGAGGTCCCGTTACGGCAGTAGTCAAGTACATATTAGCGCTGCACCATTTGAAAGCAGGACTCCCCTCCACTGCTATACTTTACCCACATTTACCCCCTGCAGATCACTGTTTGGCTCTGGAGGTGGAACAACTGCATCATTAGTGTTAATTATAGGGACAATATTCATCCTTAAAAGCTCATGTAATGTTCCATTTAAGTTGCGACGCTTCTGCTCATCGTGGAAATCCAGATTGGTGACTAAAATCTAAAAAAAAGAAAGAAACTACTTAGCCTACTACCCTTCCTATAAGAACATCATACAAACTGATGTATTTACATGTCATAACAGAGCTGTCATGCCTTTTGGGTCACTAAAGAAACAAAAGCCACATTTAAAAGATATAGAATACAAGTGAGAAATATTCTTTCCACAATATTATCAGGTTTATTCCACTGAAGCCTGTAATAGCCTATCTCAAACAGGTAGGTCACACACTCTAAGAATGAACTTGGAAAACAAGATTGTAATCAGAACATAGATGCTCATGATAACTAGTAAGACCCTAGACAATTCAATAGATTGCTCAAGATTCTGCCTTTCCCGTTTCTCCTCCCACTTTAATGCTCCTACTTGTAGCGAGCATAAGGGATGCTTTATATCAAGACTTTTCTTCCACTCACTAGAACTCACTTGCTCTTCTGAAATAGTCTTGCCTCCTGCATGCAGATAGCATCCCATTTCTTTCGATGTTTTAAGACAAAAAACACCCTCAATGTCTGCTCTGGAGAGATTTTTTTTTGTTCTTACTCTGTCATTGGACATTTGAGAATTAAGCAAACAACTCCACCACTCAAGTGTACAATAGGAATTGTACACTTGGAATCAATGTGTATGCTAAGTTTTCTGGCATGGGCAATTAATTATTTTATATCAAAGGAATGATGGTTATCTAGAGATTTGAACAAGATTACAATCCAGCACAACCTATAGTGATTTTTAGCTATATTATAAACTATTTGGCCATATCGGCTCTACCATATTACAGTAAGAAGTTCCTCCAAGAAGGCTTCATACTAGGCTCCTAAATTTGTTAAGTGTCTAAACAAGTAAGGCCTTACACTTAAAGCAATTCTGTATTTGCAGAGTATCTAAGATAAGCAAAGCCTGTTTAAGAGTAGTTCAACTGATACAATTGCAGCCTTCAGTATAAGACCCAGGCCAGGGATACCATCATCCACAAGCTGGAAAGGTTCGAAGAAGAGATAGACAGTAAGTTCTGAAGTGTAGATATGCACTTCTGTCAGCTTTACAGAATGTGTCAGAGTTTAGCCACTTGCAGTTTTTAAACCCTCCCTTTGGACCATCAACTTCAGCTTTTGTCAAGAGATCTTAACAGATCCTCCCTGTCCATAAAAGAGCAGGACAAACCTGAACTTCAAAGAGAAAAAGCATATCCATTGTATCTTGACAACAGATTTAGAAATATTTAGCACGGCACTCTTGTATAAGCTACCATTTATGCGACAATAATAAGCTCCAAAAGTAGCAAGTCAATTCAGGAAAGAAGGAGTGACTTACTTGAGCTGCACAGATGCTGTACTGTGTAAACATGGCCTCATACAGAGCCATTAGTCCACTCTGTCCAGCTGCTGCACAGGCTCGGGCCTCCAAGACCGGAATAGCCTACAAAGACAAAGAGCAGCTGTCAGGTAATGACTTGAACAGGTAGCACCCAACACTCAAGGAAAAGCAGGAGTGCCACCAGCCTCTCACCACATCTTTCAGCTGACTCTGGCCTGAATGAAGTGCTTGCCTCACACTCTGAGAAAGCAAGATCTCATGACGCAACCGCTGCTTTCCAAAAGCTACAGCCCCGCTGGTGACAATCATCATCTCTCGGCCCTGATTTTGCAGCATTGAGACCTGTAAGTACAGAAAATAAGAAATAGAGTCTAGCATATGATCAGTGAGAACAAAACAGTCCTGGCTACTATAACCTTATGCTCACCAATTCCTGCTGACAGAAGCATTTTGATTTCTCTATGGTATGTGCAAAGCAAGGCAATCACCCTTCATGATACTTCTGCATAGCTTCCTAGCCACTTGGAAGCTATGCCAAGGACTGCATGCAATCTATAACTTCCTACAAACCTTCTTTTTACAATACCAGCTTCTGTGACAGAAAAATGCTTGAACCTATCCATTCCCAAAGCTACCATTATACAGTAACTTTGAATTCTAGAAGTGAAGAGACCAACTCCCAATAGTAAAGCTTTCAATTACTTCTTCCTTACACGTATCTGGCCAGATTCCTTTCAAAGCCCCAAAGTTAAATATCTTACATGAATTTAATATATTAGGTTAACTTTACTTCCCAGAAAGGAAATGTCCAATGCTCACCAAGATAACCCAAGAAATACATGAGTTAATCCCATCAGTTTTTCTTACAAGTAATGAGGTTTCAGGCTTTTCTCTGGAGGAACTCTGCTAATGCTCAGGTGATCAAGAAGGGTTGACTCATTTTATAGAGTTCACATACTTAAGTGCCACTTTCCCACTAGAGATTACTTATGCCCCAGCCATGTCTTACTGATTGCACAAAAATATCACTGTGCAAAACTCTACCTCTATACTGGGTTTGGCGAAGATGGAGTTAATGTTCTTTACAGGGGTCTGTATGATACTGTGTTTCAGATTTCAGTTCTAAAACAGTTTTGGTAACATCAAAGCCTTATCTTTCCCCCATGAGGAGCAGCACTAACACAGTCATCAAGGCTTTCCTTGTTCCACTACCTGGGATCACAGCAGCTAGGCTAGCAGCTGGGTACAAAGTTCAGAGAGGACACATTTGAGACAGCTGACCTTAAACTGGCCAAAGGGACTTTTCACACCATATAATGTCACACACAGTAATAGAGCTGCAGAATAGCAAGATGCTGGAGGTTGTCTTCCAAGGTGGCCATCACTCAAGAATGAGCGGGGCATTGGATCTGCTTGTGTGAGGTAGCAATTGCCACCACAGATTTCTTTTCCCCTCTCCTTGACTTAATAAACTATCTTTATTTCAACCCATGAGTTTTCTTACTTTTGCTCTTCCTATTTTCTTCCCAGTTGCACTGGTGGTGGGGCACAGGTGAGGGGAGCAAACAAGAATCTGTGTGGATGCTTAGCTGATAGTCAGGATCAACCCACTACACCTTCAAAAAATTTACTGAGTTACGTGGCTTATAGTACTGCAGCAAAGGGGGGTGAAAAGGGAAAGGCTAACATGTTGTTTTAAAGAGTATCAGTATTTTATGATGGTTTACTACAATCTTCTGTAGCATCCAAAAATCACTGAGTACCTGAAGTTAACACAAATGTTCAGTCACAGAATTACCTGCTCTACAATAGAAGCCAGCCTCCCAAGGGCCAAGCCACACTCATCCCCTCGAGTAACAACAGCACTACCCAGCTTTACTACAATCCGTTTTGCATGCTTCAGCTCACTGCGGTGTGCAAATGATTTTCCATGTGCACGGCTGAGTGGCACAGTGATAAATGGAATGTTGCTCCAACAACGGATGGACTCATTCCTTAATCTTTGGTTATGGCAAGGGAAATCTGTGAAAAGAAAGAAAGAAAAAAAAAACAACCCAGTTTTAAGTGTTTCATTCAGACTTTTGACCCTTCACAATACACACTTCCCAGTAAATGGGAATGAGAAGTTAGCTTTCAATTCACCAAAACAAAGTAAGAAACAGGAGTATCTGAGCAGCATTTACCATCCTTAAGGAACAGAAGGCAATATCCCATGCATCAGAGCTAACTCCTGGTATCTAGAAGACCAAACTGAAAGACACTGTAAAAGAGCCTATTTAGCACACGTCTCACAGACTAGTTTAAAAAGAATATCTTTTGCCTTGCCTCATTAGATAAAATTAAGAGTTTTTGTGTCTAAAGTAACACAGAAAGCCTAATTTTTAGAAAAGAAACACAGCGTCTACAACATTTCTAAGCCAGGTATTTTTGCTCAACTAGGGAAAACAACATTGCTCAACTAGGGAAAATGAAGGGGCATGACAGATATACAAACTCAAAGCCACATGGTGACATGGTGGTGGTCCAAGCCCTTGAACAAGCCTCTTGAAGATGTGTTTGTGCTCCAAACATGTCAATGCTCAGGAGGCATTTGGACAATGCCCATCGTGTGCTTTAGCTTTGAGCAGTCCTGAAGCATCATGCTGTGGGGCTAGCTGACCACTCCAAGTGTCTTAGAACTAACTATTCTAGTTAATCCTAACCAATGTATCATCTGAAAATGCAAAGGCATCTTTACAAATCAGTGAACGTTACACCTTACTATATAGTACTACTATTTAATATTTGCCTAACCTACACAGTATAATCAGAAAGGAGTTTATTTCCAGTTCTCTTCGCTTCAGGGTTTAGAAGGTTCCAAGAAGGTAGCTGTTGAGAGCTAGGCAGTATCTGAAAATAAACCATTTGCTTTTTAAAAGAAAAGTTAAGGAAAAGACCACAGTTCTAGAACAAGCAAAGAATTCAATTCATCCCCACTAAAGTCTGAATCATTAATCTTGCTCTATGGCCACATAGTTATTTTACACCGGACCACGATGTGAAATCGGCTCCCACATTACACGTGCAAAACATTTGTGGAGATGCAAGCCCATTAACTTGCTCCACATGCAATTAGGGAGGAACCGACAGCCATCAAGTCCAGATTTTGGACAAGCAGCCTTAAAGGGATTCCAGTTTTTATATCTCATACCTGTCAACAGTTTCAATTCCTTAATAAAGAAAGGGACACATACTTAAGTATTTGGCATTGCAGATCCTTCACTGTGTAGCTTGCACAAAACTTGCTTCTCAGGAGTAAAGAAGCAGAATTTCAAAATACACAAGTTGAACAGAACAGGAAACGTGGAGAACAAACAGAAAACAGCAAAGAACAAAAAAAAAAATCCCTGTGATAAATGATGACTCCAGCTTTAGACCACAACTGATGAAGTGACAAGAGTTGCTCCACTTCTGGATACTGTCAATACTTGGGAACAAACTTCTCATAGGAAGCACTGTGAAAATTACTGACTTCAGAAAATGAGGAATACTTAGAAACGTTACAAATACAGAAGCCAACAGAGCCATAGCTCATAAATAAAAAGTTTAGAATTTTCAAGATTTTAACATCTAATTCATTTAGTTATTAATAAAAGAGAACTGTTAATACACAGACCAGTGGGAAATTAGTCTTTCATGCAATGGTAAACAGCTAGTCTTTTGATCTAATAGAGTTTATCTATGCTTGCCTTTTGTATTTCAGACAACTAATCAAGTAGACACTGAATGGATCTCTTAAATTAGGTTTTCAGGGAAGAACTATTTACAGGGCACCTATTTATTGACACTTAGGTTTCCTGCACACATCTTTCCACTTGAATTTAATCCAAGTAAATTTGAGTTTTGATCTTTGCTTTACTCAAAAGATCTGAAAATGCAGATGGGGGAGGAGACACAATCAGATCTTGTTTTCCAGGAATGTATGAGGTTGAAATAAGGAACTTTTACAGCAGCAGTATTTCTACAATTTTTTTTTTCTCCTTGAAATGTATGTCAGAATGAAAAATACATAGACATCCAGCTGAATATTATTGAGTTAAGGGAGAAAGTAACATTGAGAAAGTAGAGCTTCAACTACAGTTCACTTCAGAGGTTGTAAGCTTTGAATTATGTTAATGAGATAGTTTTCCTTTCAACATAGGAAAGAGCAGAGGCATGCCCAGACACATACTGACCAACATTTTAGAAATGTGTGCATTCTCTCATACATACATAAACGGGAAATGGCCGCGATGGCATGTGGCGGTGACACAAAGCACCATCCAGGGGAACGGACAAGAGGGCTCAGAGCAGCTCGACACAACATTTTGAGATGCCTTCTGCAAATCAAGGATATCTGCAAGTTAAAACGAAGGGAGGAAGGGGGAAAACTGGTTAAATAGCAATGACTTTCCAACTATATTTCTCTTCTCACCCACTCTCTCAGTCCAACTCCTCTTTTCCTGTACCATCTTAATACAATTTCCTCATGCCCACTCTCCATTTTGCAGAATTTGCACACGGATTATGATATAGAAGAACTGAAGGCCCCTCTTCCTTACCTGCTGCCAGATCTTTATTAAAGGTAAAGAATAAAACATGGCTCCCTGAGAAGGGAAAACACTATTAGTGAATGTACCTACAATAGACAAAAGTAATATTTTTTTCATGGAGAAGCCTTGAAGAAAAAGACAAAAGTAGAGAGGTTGTATCATACAAACTTCTCTGTACACTTCACAACAGAGCATCTACTATACTTCTCATGAATCTCAGCCCTATTCAATATGGGAAATATGCTCATTCACTTTCCCCTGAGCACTATCAAATTACAAGATTTTATCCATGATTACAAGTAAAGACATACATTTCCAAGCACTAGGCACTAGTTATCCTTGACTGAACCTTTAAACACTCAGGATTCTTCTAACTCTAAAATTCAGTAGAGCAAGTACACAACAAAGGATACACAATTAGCCATCTTCTATGACAGGTCTAGTTCAAGTAATGCATCCATGGAAACAAATGAGATTAAGAAGAATCCAGTTCTCCCAGACGGTATTTCAACCACAAAACCTCTCCTTCCCCTTTTACAAAACTTTACTTCCTTTCAATCCATTTTCCAGCACCAGTGAAATAAAGCAAACAAAACTGCACAAACTACGGTACACAGAAAGCATTGAAAAGAGGACAAGGAGACCTTATAGTGTCTGCACTGGAAGACTGCTATTACAAATACCAGGACATTTACAGCACTGACAGATCTGGCACACATGTACGTGAACACTTGAAGAGGCCTCATTACCTTTCATCAGTGCACTACTATCCCTCATTATAATCCTTACCAAAATATACATGTCTACATTAGACAGGGCAGCCACCAGTACATAATGTTCCTCCTGTTTTTGTCTAGTAAAGCTTACATTGCATGGCATTTTAATAATATTAATCTGCAATGTCCCTCCAGTTCTGTATTTCATGTGAAATGGCAATATTGGCCACTACCAGGATAAGGCAGACAAAGGACTCTGAGCAGATCATGCAACTAAGCAAGTAGTCAAAGTTCTCTTCTCGTAACAGGGTAAGCTTAAAGCTGGGAACAGTAATACCTAGACATTCCCCCTTTGAACCCTTACCAGGCTCCTCATGCGCCTGCCTCTGCGGTTGCACAATTCCCACTATTTATATTTCAGCCTTCCACCTCGAAGCTCACCTTGACCCCTTCTGTTAGACACCATCTTCTCAAGGGGGTCTTAGCTGGGTCTCAGAGAGATGCTAGAGATCCAGCAGCTCCTGACATGAGGTGGCAAACACCAGGTTCTTTATCCAGACCCCCTTCCACCGCAACTACCCTTAGTGGAACTGCCCGGTCCCCTTCAGCTCCCTCTACAGACCATGCCCCTTAAAGGACAGAAACAGGCACACTACCTGAAGTTTCACCTCCAGACACTTCCTCTTACCTCTCCTGTCAAACCTTCAACTCCTGCTATAGTAATAACCTCCACCTGGCACTTCGCTGTCACAGAATACAGACCCACACTGGCCAGACCACACTGTGCCATCTCCTTGGCTGCTCTCTCCTACTGATCTGCTGGAGAACCACTTCACATTCTCACTACAGGCTGCTTGCAACCAAGAGCAACCTTGTACTTCTGGAACACTGTCTCCTAGCTTTGCCGGAGACAACTTTGCTAAAAGCAGAAGGACAATGAAGAATGAGAACTGTCAGTGTGGATCTTTTGAAGGAAAAAGATTATAAAATATAGCATGTTTTTGAAACTAGGTTGTGCGAGAAGGCAAGGAGAGCCATTTAACAAGCAAACAGAGAGTTTAAAACAGCAGCAGGTAACAGTATGTGAAACGGAAATGGATGCTGCCAGAAAGCACAGACAGAGCAGAGTTTACAGTATAACGTAAACTACAGGCTTTCTTTCAGGCTAATCAAACTCCCTCTCTCCGCTCACTCAGTCAAGGATTTAGTTTATTTCAATCCTCATTTTCCATTCCACTCACATTTCCACCACTTCCATTGCTAGAAGGGCTCTGACATTCAGCGACAAAAAAATAAAAAAAGGTGTATAATTAAAAATAATTAAAAAAAACCCAACTTTCCTGCTTTACTTAGAGGAAGCAATAAAAAAGAAAGCAAAATGCATTATACAAGTATTCCTCCTAGCATCAGCTTAAAGATTTTTTCCACTACCAGAAAAACCTAATTCTTCCAAGCTAGTCTCCAAACATGACCTTTAAAAATATCATTTTTCTATTATCTTTTTAAATAATGAAAGTTATCCTTGCATTATTGCTCATAGAAAGCAGTATCATGACCTAGTTTTCATGTGTTTATTATCATAATAACAGCTGTTAAGTAGCACAGTACATTTAGATGCTGTTCCAGATCAAAGAGACTCAGTCACCCCCTAAAGCAATCAACGATCTCAAATCCTAAAACATGTGCCTTGAAAAAAGTCTATAACACTGTTTGTTCAGTCTGTTAGCTGCAGAGTCATAGCATGATCACAATTACTTTTAGTAAGTTTATTAAAGTAAATAAACTGTTTCCACAGTTTTAGATATAATGGCAAACAGCTGAGCACTGAGACATTCCACAAGTGAAAAAATCTGGAAGTCAAATTCTGACAGGCAGACCCATTTTGCAAAACACTTAAGCACAGAAACAGAGATAAATCAAGTTCAATGGAAATGCACACAATTTCTATGAAGTAAGTCTTTCCCACAACACAAATTTTAAGTCCTCAGTAAAATTCAGAGGTTTTTACTATTTAAACCGCTTCATTACCTTACCAACTGCAACTTCTGCAAGGGAAAAAAACCCCAAAACTATCTGCAGCTCTTCGTGGAAACTTTAACCCTAGAAACATTCCCAGAGGGAAGCCAGTTCAGAAAACCTGAATAAAATAAATGAAAATTTCAAATAAATGGTCTTTAGAGCGGCACGCATATAGGTTCTGCAGACGGTATAGGCGCAGAGAAGCAGCAATTGAAAGCAGCAATGCGATTCCTTTCTCTCAACAACGACCGCCAGCAGTACAGCGCGGTCACGGGAGTACCGCCTGGCACGGCAGAGCAGCACCTCGTCCTGGTCCCGGAACCCTTCCCAGCGCTTCACAGGGCAGTACCTGCAGGAGCCCGCTGTTAGTCCATTCTGCCAGATCCAGCCGATGAGCACTGCAGCACAAGAGGGGCTGTACAGTAGCAGCACCGGCGGCAGGGCCGGGCCCTCGGAGGCCTCGCTGCGTGGCGGTGGCCGAGGGGCCGCTCGGGTCTCCCCGGGGCTCTCGGAGCTCCGCGCGCCCACGGAGCAGCACGCGCGGGGACCGCGGCCGCACACGGGCGCGCTCCCGCCGCCACCGCCCCGCTGAGCCTCGCAGCCAATCCCCGCCCGGAGCGGCCTCGGCCGCAGCAGCCACGTCACCGACCGACCGCCGGCTCGCCGTGCCCGGCCGCCCTCCTCCCCCGGCGCTACCGGTAGATGATGTAATTCCACTCCACGTTGCAGCACAAAATCCTGGCCTTGTAAGTTACAGCATTAACAACTGTTTAGTCTAGCCCCAGTCTAGTTCAGACAGCCCTACCCAAAGCACAAGCTGCTGACCATCTCCCACAGCGGCCTCCCTTAACCTGGATTCTCCTCGCTCTGACATGTTTGCAGTCTGGCGCACAGCAGATTAAAGGAATCTGCAGCCAATCTTCTGAGACTGGCTTTAGCTCCTTAGGCGTTTACATGCTTTCTTTTCTCCACTGCAGCCCCAACCTCTTTATAAGTGCAAGAGTGGTGGCTTTACTCTCCACTTACCTCCCATATCCCACTTGAATTGACTTGTAAATTAAGAGAATCGGGGTAATTTAGAACCATAGAATATCCTGAGCATTGAAAGACACACAGGGATCATCAAGTCCAGCTCCTGGCCCTGCACAGGACAGCCCCAACCATCACACCACATGCCTGAGAGTTGTCCAAATGCTCTTTGAGCTCTGTCAGCCTTGGGCCCATGACCAGTGCCCGACCACCTTCTAGGGGAAGAACTGATTCCATTCCATTCCCCAGCTCCATTCCATTCTGATGTCCAGCCTAAACCTCCCTTGACACAGGTCCAGCTGTTTCCTCAGGTCCTGTTACTGGTCACAGAGAGCAGAGGTCATTGTCTTGTCCCTCCACTGCCCCTTGGGAGGAAGCTGCAGATGATGTTTCCCCTCAGTCTCCTCCAGACTAAGTACAAACTAAGTACCCTCAACAGCTCCTGGTATGGCTTTCCCTGGAGACCTGTTACCATCTTTGTAAGCCCTCTTTTTGATGCTCTCCAATAGCTCTATATCTTCTTTATGTTATGGCACCAGAACCGCACACAGTAGGTGTGACCTGCACACATTTAGGAATTTGGAAAACACCTTTAAGATCATTGAGTCCAACCACAAGACTAATGCCATCAAGTTCACCAGTCCCTGCCTGCAGTGGCCTTGGATGCAGCCAATCTGCAACTGTGGTGGCCCTAATCCAACCCTAAGTGTCACATCTACACATCCCGGAAAAGCACTGTCAGCTGGCATGGGCACTGCTGGGTTCTGTCGATCCCTCCAGGGATGGTGACTCAATCACTGCTGTAAGCAGTGAAAGGGTGCCATTGCCTGACCACCCTTTCTGTGAAGACGTTTTTCCTAATATCCAACCTAAACCTCCCTTGGCACTTCTTGAGGCCTTTTCCTCTCATCCTGTCACTGGTTCCTTAGGAACAGAGCCAGACTCCCACCTGGCTGCAACCTCCTGTCAGGGAGGATGATACAGAGCAAGGTTTCCCCCTGACCATCCTTTTCTTCAGGCTGAACCCTCTCAGCTACCTCAGCTGCTCCTCATGAGACTTGTCCTCCACATGCTTCCCCAGCTCCATTCCCTTCTCTGGACACTCTAGTCCCTCACTGTCCTTATTACAGTGAAGGGCCCCAAAACTGACTTCAGGATTAAAGCTGCAGGCCTCACCAGTGCCCAGTGAAGGGCAATGGTCAATACCCAGGGCATGTGGGCACACTATGGCTGATAAAAGCCAGATGCCATTGGTGTTCTTTGTCACCTGGGCTCATATTCAGCCAGTAAACCACCACACCCTGCCCTTTCCTGTCATTCTTCCCCCAGCCTGGAGCACTCCATGGGGCTGTTGTCACCCACAGGCAGGACCACCACTTCAGCTTGCTGACCCTCATACCACTGGCCTGAGCCCATCAACCCAGCCTGTCCAGATCCTGCTGGAGAGCCTTCCTGCACAACAGCAGATAAACACTCCTGGCCCAATTCAGTGTCCTCTTCAAGCACTTATCACTGAAATTGGTAGAAAGCAAAAATCTAAAGTTTTTAATCTTCAAAGACACCACCAAATCCACAGAAGTCCCCCAGTTTAACTCAGACAGTGGCTATACTGTTTCCTGTCATCACCTATGTTACATTACCACTGTTATATTCCTATTAGAATTCAAACAAATTCCAACAGTATCAATTCCCATATTGTTGCAAGGGAGCTGTTCTGTGGGCTACTTTTGTTTATTTGTTTACATTTTTATTTTTTAGTTTACTTTTGTTTTTTTAAATTGCTAACATCACCTTCTGGGATCAGGAAACAATCTTAAATGAAGATCTAAAAATTGTGTAGAAAACTTCACAAAGGATGAAGAATATTCAGGTGGTGGGAAGTAGAATTCAAGACATCTGAAAAAACTTCAGTGTCTCAAGAATTAACAGAAAATCTCACTCACAATCATTTGACATTAACATATCACTCTCTCCAAACAAGGGAAATCAAACAACTCCCCCACCTCCCGCTAAAAAGAAAAAATACTAAAACCACAAGATCCTCCCCATCCTTCTCCCCCCTCAAAAAACTCCAAACAAACAAAAACATACATCAAATATAAGGTCATCACTTTGTTAGAAGACTATTTGGAGATATTTACTTTGCCAGAAGTGGAATTTGGTTTAATCATCATAAAGCATGTAAGCCCTGCTCTCCCTCCCTCCCGCTCCAATTACTAGCAATTGCAGAATAAAACAAATGACAACACCAGAATGCTGGTCACGCACAAAAAAATCAGAATGGTAACTAAAGGTATATCACAACAGTTGAATTTTTTTTTTATTATTAAGACAAGCCTTTTATATTAAGTCAAGCCTTTCAGGAAGTAGACTTTGCTGATCATTGTAGGTCCCTTGCAACACAGAATAGTCTGTGATTCCGTGATTCATCTTGAAAAGCTAACAAGAAATGGAAATGCTCTCATTTTAAGCTCACCTGACCAATTTTTAGCATGTGCAACTTCTATAAAATGTGCTTCTTTTTCAGATACTCAAATAGGTATCAAATTGGTTTGCCACATGAAACCAGTACTTTTTATGGAAGGACCCTTCTTAGTGGCGGGGAATCCTAGATTTCCTGTGTGGTAAGCAGTTACTTACCTTAGTGTACTTCACAAGCATACTAAGAAGTGAGCAATGTAAAACTGCAGTTTCAGACAGTTAAAGATAGGGAACCTTCAGTAATCCTAAAGAGAGCTCCATCTTCAAGAAGAAGCATGGAACTATCCTGATGGTAATAACCATATGTGTAGGCACACATGCTTCAATCCACCTACATCCCAGACATAATTGCAAGACACACAAGTACATCTCTGTGCAAATATTTTATTCCCCAGCTAATTAAAAAGACAAAAAAAGAGGGGAAAAAATCGCACAGAGTATCTGCCTTAATCAAACTAAGTGAGGAACATAAGGACAGATTAATTTAATCAAGCATGCTTAAACCATTAATAAACCTCAAGATAGGATCAATTAGCATCTTTCAAGCACTTCCTTCTTTCTAACATCTCTTTACTCTTGCCTCAATCAAATCTTGCTACTTTCTTCTACCACCTATTTTGAGCACTGAGCAGCAAAACATCAGGATGCACCAGCTGTTAAGGTAAAGATGATACAACTAGCATCCCAGTTCTGTTCCAGTTTCCCCACATCCATCAAACGAAGATTGTACAATTGCCAGACATCACTTAAGTAAACAAATAAAACAAAACTCACTGGAAGAACAACAGTCTGTCAGATGTCCAGATAAAGTACATGGGTAAGACAAGAAAGCAATCAAAACCAGTTGAATACTCTCCTAGTTTCCAGCTTTGGGTTATTCATCCTCATACCACTGATGATTTTACAGACTTGCAGTGCACCTACCTCTTCATTCCTCCATCTGCTGTCATGCTTGAGTTGTCCCTGAACAATTCTAGCACCAGGGGTGAACCAGTTTTGCCACCCCTTCTAATCAAAGCTGGAATTCCTGTCCCCAAGTAAGACAGCTTGATCATAGTAATATTCTGGTCAGACACTAACTGACCCACCCATCTATACAGGTGAATATTAGCACCAGAAAGAGAAGCACAACAATTCCTTAGACTACACTGCCACGAAGATATCAGCATAGGATGCTCTTGCTTTCCTTACATCAAGGCTATTTCATATATATGTAATGATCTCCACGGCTCTTCCTCCTTGATTAGCCCAAACACAGTGCTGCATGCAGTATGGCATGTAGAGAACAAAGTACTCATATATGGAGGAAGAAAGGATTAATATACAGGCATAATATGGTCTTTTATTCTGCATTTTATTCCTTAAGTTATAATTTCTACTATTCTATTTACTTTTTTTTTTTTCACTGCATCTTGAACTGACTTTTCAGAGTATCATGCGCAGTGACTCTCAGTTTTCTTCCCCAGGTGCTGCAGAAAACCATAAAAATACAATTGCTTTTGTATTTCTAGTAACACAACATGCAATAAGAACAGCTGAAGAATTACTGAAGCTAAGCCTGAAAGATGCTTTCTGTGCTATTGAACACAATTTTTATGACAATCGTGACAAAAGAGTAGCTTAGAAGAGCAAGGAAATACAGCAAAAAAATAAATCAGCAAAGCAGTTTACACAACAAAAAATATTTACTGACACAAATATGGAACAGGTAACATTGTTTCCAAAGTGAATAAACATAAATACTTTACTACAGAGCAGAAAAGAAGAAAAGTTTATTTTACCCCTTTGTAAATTACTGCTCAGTATCCTCAAGAGCAAATCTGGGAAGAGGAAGAAGGTAAACACGCTAAGTATCCTTAAATTTTAGGGTACAGCATCGGCACAGGCATAAGTGTGTGGAAAATCTTTATAAGCGTATGGAAATATTTGAGTTATTTTTCATTTGAAAAAATAAAACTCTTGATTTCATAATATAGATACAGTTATCAAATAATTCTGGTAAAACATGTAAGCTTTGCTTAAGTCTCCATTATCTAGAGTTTGATTACTCTTTCCAGA